AATGCATTTGTCTTATCACATTGCCATTGAACTTGGGCGAAATGCTTTGAAAGAGTGGGTTTAGGGGGATTGGAGGAACAGGACAAAATGTCTATAAATAGCAGTTCTTTGTGTAGCATCTACTGTATAATAAAGTGTTGTGTAACTCTGCCATGCAACGTAAGTAATGATAGTAATTTGCATTTTCTTATTACTATTCATCCTCGAATTGAATCTACGGTCTTTTGCCAATATTAAGGTCTATTTCTCACATCCTTACATCCCCCAGGGTCTCTGCTATGACGAGAGAGGGGAGATAAACAGTCCCCTCATTCTGCACACAGATTGTGCGACAGGTACGCACCAACTGCTTTTGGCCTCTGCGTTTCCATCTCATAGACCCAAAGGCGGTGTGGTCCATGGGCGGACCAGCACCAAACAGAGCCAGCATAATGTAACTACACTGCCAGCCCCTCCTTATTAACTAACGCCTGTTCCTCTTTTTGTAATCATGATGACCCCAGAGATTCTAGCCCAGGGCAATTAGGCGGGTCTCAAACTCGAGAGAATCAGGAAAGACTCCAGAAGAAGAAATATTTTTAAAACTTTACCAGCCTGGAGGGCCTGTTACAAAATAATGTATGTGACAAAATAATGTGACTGAGAAATTAACTGGACTTAACTTTCTACTGTAGACTCATCACAGAAGACTAAGGGTTTTTGTTTTTGTTTTTTCTTCCCCCCCCCCCCCCGCCCCAGCAGTTAAGTCTCAGAGTCCTGGGGGTTAGGTTTTGGGTTTGCCTGGCTCAGGGGAGCTTGGATGCCTAGGTACTTTGGGATTGGGAGTTGAATTATCAAAATGTGAGGAGGTGGGAGTGTTACTTGAGAGAGCAGAGGTCTGACTCCCTGAATTCCACGCTAGAGATGCAGAACGGTGGCAGTGAGGAGCACAATGGTGGGAGAGAGATACATTATGTGGTATCTGGGGCTTCTCGGCAAAAATCTGCACACCAGCTGCTTGGAGACCTGGTTAAAATGCAACTCTGATTCAGGAGCTCTGGAGTGGGTCCAGAGACCCTGCATTTCTAACAAATTCCCAAAGAGTGTTGCTACTGTTGGTTCCGGGACCTCGCTTTGAGTTAGTAGGCGAGGAGGAGAAGGTGGAAGAATTTTGAAGGAGGGGTACAGGGAAGCCTGAACCTCAAATCTGTGGCAAGGAGCATCTATTCCGATAGACTGCAGAAAAAAATAAACACTAGAAAGCCCTCACTCAAATTTCCTGGCCTCTTTCCCCCACAACCTCCTAGGCTTTTAGAATGATCCCAGGAAAGTCAAGGTACCCAACAACTCCAACCGAATGCGTTTCCAAACTCCCTTGACTTGAGGCAGAAACAGTGGAGGAACTTGTGCCAGGTTATATTTAATTTAGAAAAAATTCAGAAACGTGAAATTTTTTGAGCCCATGGAGCAAACTCATATGAATCACCCTTTCAATCTCAAAGAGAATCAGATTTAGGAATCGATAAATAACCATTCCTTAGTTACTCAATTAACACATGTTAGGGGGTGATGAGTGGTTTTCCTAAACCCTGATGTGGGGCGTTTGGGGGCTTCTGACAAGAGAAACTCATTGAAGGGAACAAGTGCCCCAAAAGATCTGAGGATTCACATTCCTTATCAGTCGATGATTTTGCCGTGGTCACCAAAGAAGATGGCCCTTCCTCTACACACACTCTTCAATAGCCCTTGGGAGATCTTTCCCTCCTTCAAGTCCTTGCTCTTCATTTAAACATGATTTCACCAGTATAAACATGTTCAGAAGAAAGACCCAGTTTGATTTTCTTCTGCCAGCATCTTCCAAAGATAGCCTCGCAGCCCATTCTCTCATAAGAACAAATCTTAAAAATAAACTAAGGCAGTAAGTACTGTGCCCAAAGCCAAGTTTGTTCCAAAGCTGAGAGTAATAAAATCCAGGGCTCCCTTTCCCTAATTCAATTTTAAGAGCAAATGCCTTTCGTTGCTAATTTTGTTTGTAACTTCTGATCCTGCCATCTCGAGGAGCTGCTCTTTTACAAAGCACTCCCACATCTGGTTCTGATTACATAAGAAAAGGGTTCTGTTGTTGTTGTTTGTTTTGTCTTTTATTTTTTAAATACTTATTTATTTTTGAGAGGGAGAGAGACAGAGACAGAGACAGACAGAGCACAAGCAGGGGAGGGGCAGAGAGAGATAGACACAGTGTCAGAAGCAGGCTCCAGGCTCCCAGCTGGCAGCACAGAGCCCGACCCGGGGCTCGACCTAACGCACCAACCTCAAGATCATGACCTGAGCCGAAGTCGGACATGCAACTGACTGAGCCACCCAGGTGTCCCTACCTAAGAAAAGTTTGTGGCTATGCTCATCAATGTCATAATTCACAGGGAGATACCAGTATGATTTACCCTTAATCCTCCCAGAACGTCTACAATCTAGGCATAGCGTAAGGAGTGACTGCATCTTTTGCCTGATCATCTGTCCACAGGAAATAAAAAGTCATAAAGTAATCCAACATTTTTGCTTGACCAGGTGTCTTTTTTTTTTTTTTTTTTAATTAGTTGCCTGGGCGCCCGGTGGCTCAGCTGGTTAAGCCGTTAAGCGTCCGACTTCGGCTCAGGTCATGATCTCCCCATTTGTGAGTGGGAGCCCCACGACCCGCTCTGTGCTGACAGCTCAGAGCCTGGAGCCTGCTTCCGATTCTGTGTGTCCCTCTCTTTCTGCCCCTCCCATGCCCATGCTCTGTCTCTCTTGTCTCTCAATAATAAATAAACGTTAAAAAAAAAAAAGAAATTTAATTAGTTGCCCATGTTTACAGTAATTTCACATAAACATCTAAATTTCTGATTTCCTTTAAAAAATCAGAAGTGCTGGCAACATTTGGAGGCCGTCCCTCGTGGCCAAATACTGGCAGAGTGGACGTTTGTGTGGACGTTTATGATCTTTTGGCCACCGGTATCTGCACCCTTCCCCTACATTCAAGGATGTCCTCAGTTTCCAAGTCCTGGTGGGAGGCGGGGTCATTTCCCGACATTCAAGCTACATACCGGGGATTCACTAGCATGTGACCTGGGCCTGGACAATTACGCATGTCTCCCCCAGGCTTTTAATGGGGCGCTAGCTTTAGTTAGCATCCAGTGCAGGAGACAATTGGTGAATTCTCCCTGACAGCAGAATTGGTGAAAGCGACATCCAGTTTCTAGCGGCAGCGGGGGTAGTAGCCTCCGAAGGTCCGCAGTAGCTGCACTTTCCTTACTGGCTTGGTTCTGTGGCCTACTTTTGACCTTGGTTTCAGTTCCTTGGGCCGTCTTTGCCCCATTTGCGAAGTCGGGGTCTCCAGTCTTGTGACTGATGGTGAGTACTTCCTTCCTACAGTCCTTTCCTGCTTAAATCTTTCATCTACAAACTCCGCCACCCTAAACGCAGGCCGTAGTTAACTCCCAGGCTGCTTAGAGACATGTGAGTTTGTAATTTTGGTCTTTATCTCTTTCTCTTTAAAGCTAAAGCTCACCCAGGGCAAGGATCCACAGGGTTCAAACGGGGAAAATTTTCCCACAGGGACCTCTTCCCACCCCCACCCCCTGCCACCTTGCCATTTTCCCTTACATTTCATTGGGCAGAACTGGGTCACATGCTCACCTTTACGCCAATCAGGGGACGAAGATTGCTGTGATTGGCTTAGGATAGGCCCTAGTTCAACTTTGGCTGTTAGAACCACCTCGGAAGCTTTTTAAAATGCCAATCCCTGGTCCCACCCCACCCCGAGGCCAACTTTAATGGGTCTGGCTGGACTTCAGGTACTGGAATTTTGTAAAATCTTCAGATGCTTTTAATGCCATCCTTGTCTCTAGTCCAGCCCCCTACCCCTGCCCATTTTACAAATGCCAAGACTGAGGTCCAAAGGCATTAAGTAACTTGCCCAAAGTTCGATTAATAACAAAAACAGACACAAACACACTCACAACATTAAATGGACACCTTTGTTCTTCCAGCGTACGCACGTGAGTGGCATTCTCTTTCTTAGAAAGTGAAGTGATCAGATGTTCAGGAACTGAAAAGCAGTAGAGGGTAGGGCAGTGGTTCTCAAACTTGAGTGCATCAGAATTCCCTGGAGGGCCTGTTACAACACAGATGGCTGGGCCCACCCCCAGAGTTGCACATTCAGTGGGTTTGGGTGGGAAGAAGAATAATTACCATTTCTAACAAGTTCCCAGGGGGATGCTGCTGCTGGTCCCAGGACCATACAAGCTTAGCAGCTAAGAGTTCGGGCTATAGAATCACACTGTCCTGGCAAGATCCAGTTGTGCCCCTTATACCGAGCCACAAAACCTACTAAACTTTTGAGCAAGTGACTCAACACGTCCATGAAATGGGGCCAACGGTAGTTGCTTTGGCTTATCACAACAACTGAGTGGGTATGATAAATGTAAAGCACTTACAACACTGTCTGGCCCATAGTAACTGTCTAATGAATAGTAGCTATTATCATTCATTCATTCATTCATTCATGGAACAATGATTGAGTGCTTCCTTTGAGCCATGCACAATTCTAGGCACCAGGAATACAGTGCTGAATAAATCAAAGCGTTGCCTCCCAATGAGCTTACGATCCACCGGGGAGGCACACAATACTTGACCTCATAACTATATAATATTACTCAGAAGAACTCTGCATTCCAAGCAAACTGAACAACAGTGCACACAGCGTTTTATGAGAACTCGGTCCAGTCTCATTCATGTCTTCCAGCTCAAGGAGACGGTAGCATCATGTTTCTAATGCAAAGGCCCCTTAGCAGAATGGCTATCTATGTGTAATTTATATCTATATTTATGTAGATTTAAAAAACATATGACATCATATGTACTATTTATATATTATATATTACATCGATAACATTTATTGAGTCAATATTATATATTTTTATGTTTTTATGTTCCATATTTTTATATTCATATTTATATTTTATATACCACAGGGATAGGCTTACGTGATTCTGGAGGCCAAGAAGTCCCACGATCTGCTGTCTTCCAGCTGAAAACCCAGGAAAGCTGGTGGTATAATTCAGTCTGAATCCAAAGGCCTGAGAATCAAGAGCGCCGATGTCTGAGGGTAGAGAAGATGGATGTCTCAGCTCAAAAGAGAGCAAATTCACCCTTCCTCTGCCTTTTTGTTCCATTCAGGGCCCCACTGGATTGCAGGATACCCACCCCCACTGGTGAGGTGATCTTCTTTACTCAGTCCACCCGTTCAAATGCCAATGTCTTTCAGAAATGCCCTCAGAGACACACCCCCCCAAAATAGTATTTTACCACCTTTCTGGGCATCCAGACTCCAGTCACGTAACCCATAAAATGAACCCTCACAGGCATACTCAGACCAGCCAATTCTTGAGGAGGTTTGGCTTGAGAGGAAGCTTTTGAAACAAGAACAGGGTGGGTGGAGAGTGTGCTAGAAGGGAAGGAGAGAGTAAGGTGGCAATGTACTGGATGCTTTACATGTGTTCCTTAATCCTCACAGACACCTTTGGAGTAGAGATTATTGGACAAGGAGAGAAGCAAGCTGGCCAAAGCTCAGTGGCGGAGTGAACACGAAGGAACTGAACAAAGTTAAGAGTTGGCTGGGGACGAAGCAGAGAATATGGGCACTGTCATATCACAAGCCACATCTGACCAGATTCAGATGAATCCCCAGGCAGGCGCTAGAGTAAAGCATAACTGCCATCATGTATTTGCCCCAGTGTCCCTCTACTGTGTTCCTAGAGCAGGTGTCAGTGATGTAATAAGGTGGAAGGAGTGGCTACTTCTGAATCAGAACACTTCTGAGGCCCCTGGGTGGCTCAGTCGCTTGGGCGTCCCACTTCCGCTCAGGTCATGTTCTCACGGTTCGCGGTTCGAGCCCCTGGTGGCTCTGGACTGACAGCTCAGAGCCTGGAGGCTGCTTCTGATTCTGTGTCTCCCTCTTTCAGGCCCTCCCCCGCTCACGCTCTCACTCTCTCTCTCAAGAATAAACAATAAAAATAAATAAATAAAAAAAAAAAAGAACACTTCTGACTCCAGGCCAGCCTCATCTTGTCTCCATATTGTCTTTCTCAAATGTTAATAAACAAAACAAACAAACAAAACCACTTTATTATGGATGTAATACATACTCATTGCTGGGAAATACAGATCAGCAGGAGAGAAGAAAATAAAAGTGATCTATAATCACCTCATCTCAGAAAAAACAAAAACAAAAAAACAAACACCCGCCCCCCCCCCCAACTAAAATTTTAGTACTGATTCTCTGATCTTCAGATCAGGGACCCTGCCCTCTGTGCTTAATAACTAGCCCTTTCCAGTTACACATATTCACCTAGCTGGAAGTTTATTTTTTGTTTTCACTGTGGACTTGTTTCTGGAGCTTGGTTCTCTAGATTTTGTTGGGCGAGGGACATGGATTTGGGCGGTAGATTGGAAATGTATGTGTTTGGAGTCGTTTATCAATTCAAAGTACTCACCTCCCAGCTTTGGGGCCAAAAGGTATTTCAAGCCTTTTTTCCTAGAGCATCTATATTCAAGAACTGGCCCCATCATTTGGGGTTGTTTTTTCCTCCGGATTTTTTTTTTTTTTTTTTTTTTTTTTTTTTTGGGGGGGGGGTTTTCTGTTCCTTTGAACGGTAGGTGTTGGAACTTTGGTGGTGGCTGGAATTGGCACTGACCGTGAGACTTTGGTTTGAAACGATGACTGGCAGCTGCAAGGGGTGGCCCTGCCTCTCCAGCTCCCCCACATCCCGGGGCTCAGGAAGCCCAGCCGCACCGGCCAGAGGGCAGCGCGGGTCTAAAAGGGCGGACCCGGAGGGAGGCTGGCAGCCGGCGCCTACCGGTAACGTGGTAACCGGCGCCTTGGCAACGGAGAGGGGGCGGGACTCACGGAGGAAGTCGGAAGCTGGCGGCTAAATCTCGCGAGAGTTGCTTTTGCGCGCGAACTCTAAGTGCCAGGGTCCCGGGGTCCGCTTGTGGCTAGTGGCTGTGCAGGCCTCCGGGGGACGCGACGACTCCAGCGGACCCGGACACCTTCTTCACCCCGCCATGGAGACCTCAGCGAAGAAGGAGCAGCAGCAGCCCGCGGAGGCCAAGATCAGAAACCTGCCCTGGTAGGAGGAGGCCCGGCTGCCGCGGGGAAGGGGATCGGTGGCTTGGGTGGTCAAGTGGAGCGGCCGCAGCCCGACTTCGCTCCACCGCCCCCGACCTGCAGCCGAACGGAGCCCCAGAAGTTCGCCTTGGCATCCGCAACTCCCCGGTCCCCTCCGTTCTTTTAGGACTTTTGTCACGTCTTCCGCTGCCCTAATCCCACCGCCCCCATCCCTTTTAGGCGGTGGGTGACAGCGTAGCGGTTCAGTCCCTTCCGACTTTGCATCGGCTTCCGTGCCAAAATGCCCTCTACTCTTGCGTAATCTTCAGTGCAGTTATTGTTCAAATTCTAAACTGAAATGATGATGATGATAACGCTCCCTAGTTAAGTGGTATTTAAATGGCTTCCTGTTAGATCACCAAGGACCCTGTTAGATGTTTGATCTTTACAAGGACCCTAGGAGGTATGTGCTGTTATTATTCCAGTTGTAATACTGCAAGGTTAAATGACTTGCCTAAGGTCCAGAGCTTGAAAATAGGTTTGGATTTGAACCCAGGTGAATTCAGAGCTTGCACTCCAAACCGTCTTACTTTCACAGCTGCATCTGAATGATGGTTTAGAAACTGATAGGATTTGGCTTGATTTCGGAAAGCTCCAAGTTGGTCTTGTCTAGTAAGGAGTTCAGTTTGTTTCTATCGTGGAAAAAACACACAACATACAGTTTGCAGTTGTGAACATTTTAAAGTGTATAGTTCAGTGACATTAAGTAGACTGAGGATGTCGTGCTACCATCTCACTGCCTGGTTCCAAAACTTTTCATCACCCCAAATGGAAACTCCATACCTGTTGGCAGTGACTCCCCCATTACCACCCCGTCCCCTTGCACCCCTGGCAGCCACTGATCCACTTTCTCTCTCTGAATTTGCTTATTGTGGATATTCATATAAATAGACTCAATCTGTGGCCTTTTGTGACTGGCTGCTTTCCCTTAGCACCATGTTTTCAAGGTTCATCCATGTTGTCGCAGGTATCAGTGCATCAGTCGTTTTTATGGCTGAATAGCCTTCCCTTGTATGGATAGACCGCCATTTATCTATCCATTCATCTTTGATGTGTATTTGGGAACGAGTTCAGTTTTTAATTTACTTTGAAATGATAGGTGCCCATCCAGGTTGAGATTATTTATAGGCAGACAGCTGGAGAGGGGAAATCAGAGCAGGGTTTATCAACCTCAGCACTATTGGTATTTTGGGCTAGATATTTGGTGGGTGTGCGCATGGTGACTATCCTGTGCATCGTAGGATGTTTAGTGACATCCCTGGGGCCTGTCCATTGGAGGCCCGTAGCACCCTCTACGCAGTTGTGACAACTGAAAATGTCTCCAGATATCACCGAGTGTTTCCTGGAGGACAAAATTGCCCCTGGTTGAGAACCAGGGGTCTGTATTCAAACTTAAAGGATTTTGCTTCTCTTCCTCTTTTTGTTAGGATATGAAAGGATTCTTTTGCACGTAACAGCATGTCCTTGCATTTGTATATGTTATAATCCATGCTAAATTGTATTTCAGGGTTGAAAAATACCGGCCACAGACACTGAATGATCTGATTTCTCATCAGGACATTTTGAGTACCAGTAAGCATCCATGTGTCATTTGCTGTTAGTCTGGTTGGAGGACCTGTATGAATTTCTTGGTGATGTCTCTGCTGAGTAATAACCTTGAAAGATCTGATTGAGCTTTATGGAGTGTTGCTCTAAGAGCTGAGTCCTTCCCATTTTTCATTCCTGCATCTGCCTCTGAGTTGGATGTGAGGTTGATGTGCATTCAGCCCAACTCAAGGGCCCACAGCGAATGAGGCAACTCCCGGAAACTGATGGGGTCTCTCTTTCCTCCCAATCCTCAGTTCAGAAATTTATTAGCGAAGACCGACTGCCGCACCTGCTTCTCTATGGTCCTCCAGGGACAGGAAAGACCTCTACCATCCTAGCCTGTGCTAAACAGCTATACAAAGATAAGGAATTTGGCTCCATGGTCTTGGAGGTAAATAGGATTATTCTTAGTCTACAAAGGAGAGTCTCTTACTTCTCTTAGATTTGTTGTTTGTTTGTTTTCCTCTTAGATTTGTTTTACTTTACAAGTAAGTTGCTTTGCTGGACATAAAATATTTCGAGTCACTTTTCCTGGAATTGATGTTTTGGTCTGGATTGGCATTAGATAGGGGCAGCTGTAGGGCTAGATAAATATCTCTGCCGTTGCCAGCTTCTACTCAAACACTCAGTGGTCACTCAGGGAGTGGTCGCTCAGTAGCTTGCTGTCCAGATTTGTTCTTCATGTTGTTCCACCCTGTTCTTGCCCTGGAAGGCCAAGCTATATTGACTGCAGGCTGCCTGGTCCTCGGGCTCCTGGTTAGGTTTGGCTGATAGGGGTCCTGGCTGGAGTCAGAGGAGAACGATGCCTGGTTCTGCCCTGCGGGCCACCACAGGCTGACAGCATCCTGAACCACAGAGCAAGTCACACTGCCTTCTCCAGATGCCAACACCACACCCCAACTCATTTCTGAGGACCTGGGGCTGGTAACGGGCCCCGACAGTCCCAGAGAGATTGCGTAGCCCTTGTGGTTTCCCCACACCCCACCAATACCTTTGAAAATCTCTCTTCACGGAATTCTCTTCAAACCACTGAGTTTTGAGTCTGCCATCTGTCTGCTGCTGAGATTTGCCTGATAGACTTAGATCACAGAATTCCAAATATTGTCTATTCCAAAAAAAAAAATGTTTAACTTTTTTTGTTGTCAGAGATCTTAGAACCTTGCTGCCACCAGTGTTCTTAATTCCATGCATTAAAGACTTGGTAACTTCGGGGTTGCTCTGGATTGCGGTAGCTAAAACTGAACACGATTCTGCTCATGCCAGGGGTGTTCACTGTGACCAGGCCAATTAGTTATTCCTCCAGAGTATGTCGGTGATTGTCCTCAAAAGGGGGAGGAAACAACAGTTGTTGGCCTTTCAGAATGTAATGTACCAATCTAGTGAGTTGTGAGTTTCACATACAATTGTGATCTTGGTTTTTTAATAGTGTTTATCTCTTAGCTGTTGTTAGACCTAGAGACCTAGCTTGCCGAGCTGGACTGATGAAAAGATAAATTAATTCATAGATAATTCACCAACATGTGTCTAATTTATTTCGGCTTCTCTCTTCCACATTCAGCTGAATGCTTCAGACGACCGAGGAATAGATATCGTTCGGGGACCAATCCTGAGCTTTGCCAGCACAAGGACAATATTTAAGTAAGAATTATTTGTATAATTTCTCTCCCTAGAGGTTTTGATCAGTGAGATGACAGAGCTTAATGTTTTAAATCCTCCCCCTTTGCCAGTCTATAAAGGTAAACAATGCCTTTGTCAAAAGTAGCCATTAAAAAGAGATAAAGTACAAGGATGGTGGTAAGATATAATGCAAATGTGAAAATAAAACATCATCTCAGAACTTGCTATATTAGCAAGTTCCTTGGGGAAGCGTTAACTTTGTTTTAGTAGTTAACTGAAGACCGATTACATCCTAGGACCAGGTGAGCTAGTTCGAATTTATTATTATTTTTTTATTTAATTTATTTCTTTTTGAGAGAGAGAGGACAAGCAGGGGAGGGTCAGAGAGAGAGGGGGAGACACAGAATCCAAAGCAGGCTCCAGGCTCCGAGCTGTCAGCACAGAGCCCGACGTGGGGCTTGAACTCACGAACCGTGAGATCATGACCTGAGCCAAAGTCAGATGCTTACCCGACTAAGCCACCCAGGTGCCCCTAAGCTAGTTTGAATTTAAACAAAAATAAATTGTGATGAGGATGGATAAAAAGGGAAAGGTGAAGGCAGGCAGGAGTGGAGGTGGTGGAAAAAAGCAAGGCCAGAGCAACAGGACACGGAGTGGAGACAAAGGTGAAGGTGCCAGAGGCAGCAGCGGAACAAAAAATGCAAAAGTCAGACCTCAGTTCCCTTTAAGAGTTGAAAGAGTGATGGGCATGTCCTCTGCACAGCCACACTTGTTTGCTTCACTCAGAGGTCAAGGAGGAGTGGACTCTCTGAGGCCCGGCCTGATGGCACAAATGTGAACATGTAGGTTTCGGCCTGGAGATTGAAGGGAGATTAAAGACATCTTCGGGGGCGCCTGGGTGGTTCTGTTGGTTGAGCGTCTGACTCTTCATTTTTGCTCAGATCATGATCCCAGAGTCGTGGGGTCGAGCCCCGTGTCGGGCTCAGTGCCGAGTGTGGAGCCTGCCTGGGATTCTCTCTCTCCCTCCACCCCCTCCTCCACTTGCACAGGTGCACACAGTCTCTGTCTAAAATAAAAAAATAATAATAAATCTTCATATGGTACCATTTGTTTTCCTAGGAAAGGCTTCAAACTAGTGATCTTGGATGAAGCTGACGCCATGACTCAAGACGCCCAGAACGCCTTGAGGAGAGGTAGGAAGACCTGTCGGGTATAGTGTGTTGGCTCATGAGTGCATTAGAAGGAGAATTAGGCACTTTGGACATGAGATAATGACATGGGCTGTTGACAATTTTTGTTCATCTTCTGGCCCAGAGAAATCGGTTTCCCTTTCTCTGTGTATCCCAGCCGACGGTCTAGAACAAAAATCTCCCTGTATTGGGGGTTTCCCCTTGCAGCAGCTTAAAGGGAGAAGCCCTGTTGGGACTTTCAAGTCCGACCAGACACAGGTGTTGCATCCTCCTTTT